TACACATCCTCTAAAATTGTTAGACTTCAACTATAGTCGCTGAGCGTATATGTTGAGTCATATAAGAATTTAGTCTTGATTGGCCTAGAATTGGTGGTGCCCGCCTCATCTCCTGTTCCTCGTTGGGTTGTGGACCTAGGGCAGACCCACTATATTCAACGTTTTATCTAAGTTAAGCCTTATATAACTTTATATGTTGGACGATTATAGAGGAACTCTACGGATTACTCTAGGGTTCATTAATGCATCATGCAGGATTATTTCTATTCATACTTAACTAAGAAAATATTGGATTTTCTGGAAATCAAACTAAATCGATTTTACAAGGAAAAACGGTTTCTACTTCAAACAAAACTCTTATGAACTCACCAACCTTTGTGTTGACACTCTTTAAAACTACTTGTATTCTCAGGAAGTCAGTGAAACAGGCAAACTTCATCGCTTTGAGGATGGGACGCTAAACCGTCAACAAATTTATTTTGTCATCATAATGTAATTGCTTTTGAAACATGTAAACATATACTTTGGTGTAACTTTTGCAATTATATTTATGGTGGTTGTTTTTACTTTGAGCACTATTATACACGTTGTTGTGATACTGTACATGAAGTCCTCCACCCCCAGACGTTTCCGTCATCCTTGGTTTGGGGGTGTGACAGGTACTAAAACATTTTAGTATGGAAAACTCGAAGAAGGGAGAATTACTGATACAAAATAATGCCAAGTTGAGTAAGACTCAAAGTCCGAGTACCAAAGTTGAGATAGCAGAGATGAGCCGAGTACCTTATGCTTCCGCAGTTGGCTCAATCATGTATGCTATGACTTGTACTCGCCCAGATGTGGCCTTTGCTTTGACAATGGTCAGTAGATATCAAGGGAACCCTGGCAGAGCACATTGGACCGCAGTCACGAATATCCTTAAGTACCTTCGGAGGACCAAGGAATGGTTTCTGGTTCTCGGAGGGAGTGATCACTTGAAGGTGCGAGGGTATAGTGACGCTAGCTTCCAGACCGACAGGGATAACTACCATTCGCAGTCGGGCTGGGTGTTTACCCTTAATGGAGGAGCAATGACTTGGAAAAGTTCCAAGAAAGAAACCGTTGCTGATTCAACGTGCGAATCAGCATACATTGCAGCGAGCGAAGCATCAAAGGAGGCAATATGGTTAAAGAACTTTATTGGAGACCTTGGAGTTGTAACTGCCATAAAGGAGCCTATGGAAATTTTCTGTGATAATGAAGGAGCGGTTGCCTTGACCAAGGAACCGAGGGATCATGGTAGATCTCGGCATATCGACATAAAATATCACTTTATTAGACATCGAGTAGAAGAAGGAAGCCTTGTAGTTAAGAGGATATAGTTAGAGGATAACCCAACAGATCCGCTTATGAAGAGACTGAGTAGGGTTAAGCACTTGCAGCACGCTAGGAACATTGGGATGAAGAATGATATTAGTTTGGATTAGATAGTTTGGAAACTTGTAATAGATAAATGTAATTGATATTTGATGATTAAATAAAGGATTATTATTTAATGGTTTCTATCTTATGTTAATTGTTTAACTATTGTTTCACTTTCCATGTTTTGACTTCCAGAATGATTGAGTTTATTAAGAATAATCGAATCATTCAAACGGTCCACAGTCGTTCATATGTTGGAAGTAGGTATGAATGAAGACTGTCATGAATTGCTGTGTAGATTGTCTGAATGTTATTAGACATAAAAAAAAGGTTTATTACAACATTCATGAGTGCTTATAAATAAGTTTTGAGCATTGGAATAAACTCGCACTTGCTGGAATCACTTCATGAAATCTATCACAAGTGATTGCAAGATGATAATATCATATGGTCTTAAAACCAAGATATATGGTTTATTGGTTGCTGATTGATTGTACATTGATAATGCGAAACCGCATCAGTAATTCGATGTTATAAAACACATTGTTGTGTATAATTGATTAGTGAATAGTAAGTGCATATAAGTCAAAGTTTATCTGTTACTTTTATCCTAAGAGGGTAAAAGCGATATTAGGGCCCCTCGATAATTTTCATTTGAATTATGTGTCGGGCCCGGTCAGGACTGAATTGATGTGTTCAATTAAGTTCTATGTCAAATGAATCTGAGATTGAGAAACTAATTGCTGGGACAATAAGTATGACAATGTTTCATGAGATTGCCCACACGATATCTAAACAGAGGACTATACGATCACTTATCTAAAGGACATGTTACTGATAAGATCAGAGTTTGACGACGTCTTTGAGAGCTACGATTGCTAATCGAGTTGTACTTGCACTTGTGGTTACTAGACTTATCCAAGTGGGAGACTGTTGGATTAGTGTCTGAGCCCGTAACCATATTTGGTAAGTACTTGACCTAGTTGTGCATGGTCCTTTTGGGTTGCCTTCACCAAAGCAACTTGACTGGAGAAATAAATAGAGAAAGAGGTTATTATGATTTATTAATATATTATAAGAATAATATATTAAAGGAGAAATCATATTTGTTTAATTAATATTGGTCAATAATTAATTAGGAATTAATTTTTGTGATCAAGTGTAATTAATTAAACTAGAGGGGCTGAATTGTAACTATGTGATAGTTGAAAAGTAGGGCAATGGTTACCCTAGATATAGGTTGGACGAATTCAAGGGATAAGGAATCCTTGAAATCGTCCAAGGATAAGGCTTATCAAGGCTTATCTTATGGTTACTTGGTGGGCAAGCAACTAGATAAGGATAAGCACTGAAACCCTAATCTCCACCCTATATAAAGAGACCTAAGGCCATAGAAATCGCCCGAATTGATCCCTAGGGTTCCTAGAGCCGATTTCTACCTCTCATCTTCTCTCTCTATTGCCTCTCCAATTGCTTATGGTGTTTGTGAGCCATTAGAGGTAATACACTTGTGGTACTTGCTTTCAAGACTTAGGGTTTGAGGATTTGAGTTGTTATTACAATATAACAACAAAAGGTATGTGATCTATCTTTCTTTGTGAATTTCAAACATACTTGGAGCATACTAGGGTTCTTCAAGTGTTCATAATGTTGTGTATCTAATAGTGAAAACATAGATCCAAATCTAGGGTTGCATGCACACATAGGATTGTTTGTTCAAAACCCATCAGTTTTATGCAGACATGCTTTCACAATAATGATGAGATGTGGTGTTAAAGAAATTCCTATAGTGTACATTCTAAAAGGATGGAGAAAGGATGTGATATCAAGAAATTATCGTTATAGTTCTCATCAATCTGATTCAGGGGATCATGAGAATGTGAAGCTAGTCAATGATTCATATTATAGTTTTGACTCATGTTTGGATATTGTAAGACAACTTATAACAATAAAAAGAATTTGGCTTCGTTTGTTGAGAAACAATAGATGTTGTTGAAGTAATTTGAGATTGATTATATATCTGGTGGGTTGAAAAGCAAGACATATGGTGAAGTCGTATGCAACCTTATGGGTGTTTCTATTCCAATTCCATAAGAGATTAATATTCATTTAAGTTCAAAGCAATAAAGTTTCTCGAATCAAGAAAAGAATTCCAAGTGCAGGTGAAACAACATATGTTAATTCTAATAAATAACATAGAATGTGCTCAGGATGTGGAAAACGAGTTCCTCACAATTTACGTACATGTCCAGCAAGAATTATAGTTGGCCAATCAACAAAAGACATCTAGGCCTTTTGTTTTTTTATGTTATTTCGTTTATCATTTATGAATATATGTAAATAATAATCACAAACAATAATATTCATGTATGAATAATACAATATTCTTGTATCATTATGGATTTATCAGAAGCTATTCCTTAAGACATTTATATTGATATGGAAATTTCATATGTGAATTACATGTTAATTATGAATGAATATATCATATTTTTTTAATTCACTAATAAATAAGTTATACTCATATCATAATTTTGTTAAATTCGCATATTATTCCTAACTTAATCATAAATGAATACATCATATTTGTATTCATTTATGACTGAAGATGTTATTATTTACATATTAAACGTAAATGAATAGATTATATTTGTATTCATTTATGAATAAACAGAAATAAAATTGAAAACTATCATAAATAAATACATCATAAATGAATATAAATATGATGTATTCATGATATTTGTTTATTAATTTAGTAATAAATAAGTTATATTTATAAGTGAATGTTGTTAAATTCACATATTATTCCAAACTTAATGATAAAGATTACATCATATTTGTATTCATTGATGATTGAAGGCATTATTATTAACAAATTAAACGTAAATGAATATATCATATTGGTATTCATTTATCAATAAACAAAAATAAAATTGAAAACTATCAAAAACAATCACACTTGTTTATGAATCATTATCGTAAACTTTGAAAATATTTGAATATAAAAAACTAACAGAAATAAGCAAAATTGTTACTATTACATAATCATTCAACATGAATTTTGTATACGCCCTTCCTAAACAGCTAAATATCGTATTTGTCCGGCCTATATTGAAATATCATATATGCCATTCTTAATGTTTTTTAATATCATATATACCCAAATCTATTTTTTGGTAATTCTTATTGATTTATAATTGTTTTTCTTAATATTAAATCATTATAATTAAAAATCATTTTGAATGGACAAAAATACCCTTCCTTATTGCTTCAACAGATCACGTTCTCATTGTATCACAAAATCAAGTTCACATCGACCTGATACTTTCAATCGCTACTCCCTGTTTGCTACTTCCTTGTTTGCTACTTCGATCAATCGCTCCTTCCCCTATTATACCATATTGTAACTCAACCAATTCCCATATGGTGGAATCAATGGAAGCAATTCCATAAAAACAGATTTCTGTAAACTTTAATTTCATGGCTTCTTTCTGTATCACATTTTCTTTCTAAAATATATAAGCTTGGTGGATAATTAGCCGATATGAATGACATAATTGACCTTGGACCAGTTAAATTTGGATCATAACCAATAGTCAATTTGGATCGTAGTTTATCTTTGCTTCTTCAAGACCGTTGAATCCTCTACAAACAGAATATGATATCCAAAGTGAATATAGATTACAGATCCATTCTCATTCCTTATAAGAAACTTAATCCAAATATCATTGAATCATAGTTAAATGTATAGAGCAAACAGACAAGGGTTGATCACTAAAATTCACATACCCAATCGGGAGACGTCCTTTAGGATCACCGGAGGAGTAACCCTTGAAATAGAAAAACTGAGTAACCGTGTACACTAATCCCCAGAGCTGAACATATAAGTGGGTGTTTAAATCCTCCCAAAACCATCAAAACAAAGAAGATCGGCAAAGATTCCAGCAAATTATGATGCCCTCTCTATAATCAAACAATCTGTAATCAAACAAACAAAACTCAGATACCTCAAAATCCCACAAACGAATCAAAGAAAAATGATATATTTTTCACAAATCAACAAGCAATCTGTACAAACCTGAATACAGTTGATGAGTTTGTAATCCTTGGTATCTGCTTCAGTGGCGTAGAGTGCTAGGTATGAAACATTATACCTTCAATAGAAAATTTTGTTAAATTTCAAATTAGGGTAACTAGAATAAAAGGGAAAGAGTTTTTGTTTGGAGTTATTACTTCTTTCTAGCTCTACCAACTTGAATCTGCATATAGAAATTGAGGAAATAGTATGCAATGATCAGAAGCAGCTATTAATCGGAAGCAGTGATGGACGCAATGATCGACAATATTAGGGTCAAACGTGATTTTGTGATATAGGTGAAAACATGATCTGTTGTAGCAATAAGGGTATTATTGTCCATTCAATATAAATTTTCATTATAATGATTTAATATTAAGAAAAACAATTATAAATCAATAAAAATTACCAAAAAAAAAATAGATTTTTGTATATATGATATTAAGAAACATTAAGAAGGGCATATATGATATTTCAAGTTTAAGCCGGGAAAATACGATATTTAGTTGTTTAGGAAGGGCGTATACGAAATTTTGCCAATAATAAAACATGTTCACAAGCATTTCATACACTATTTAGACAATGTTCAAAAACACTTAACAAACCATTTAAAACTTGTTCACAAACTTGTTTCGCAAAAGCATCTTATATGTCCCCCAAACGCATTCAACTTCATCACAAGCTGTTCTCCCATACCATCACATTTCATCAAAAATAATCACCAATAGTCTTATAACCTTTTTTGAATTGTTTGCATAACCTTGTATGCATGAGCAGTACACACTATGAGTTCCACATTTTCATATTTTTCGGCAAGATCCAACTCCTTAGCCTTCAACATGCTAATTTTAGAAGTTAACTTTCGGTGCGCATACATTTTCCTGAGCTTCTCTAAAGTAGTTTGTTGAATTGCTCATTCTTTATAAAGACCTTGTTTCCACTCTGATATTGGTTGTCCCATGTACGTCTCCATATGTCTCATTGCAAAGACCCCACAATCAACTTTACTTTTAACTATTCTATATGGAATTTCAAGTCATTGTGGTATGATAGTTTCTTTTGAGATGGCATTGGCTTTTGGAAGGTTTATTTCTTTAAAGTATCTCACAAACAAATTTTTTTGGTCACTAAATAAAATAAAAGTTAGATATGTAATAAAGTGGTTCTAATACGTTGTTGTGAATTAGGTACTTACCAAAGGTTTCAATAGTACTCCATATTTCCCTTCATAACCCTTCGCAATTGCACTGTTGTCCAGAATTTCAATTGATGGTTCCTTTAAGTTGAAGACAAACACAAAAATATGAGCACTTCTAACAATTGGAAAGAATAATTGTTTTTTTTATGTATATAGTGGTAAGTATTTTGTTGATATTATATATATATATATATATATATATATATATATATACACACACACACACATACACATACATACCATGGCAATATCTTTTATGTTCAAGATTTTTTATACCTATCAGTGCTCTCATGAAAGTTCTCCTCGACTTTTTCATACTTTCTTTCATCAAACAATGTTGAAGATACATAAGCATTTTATAACCAAAATAGTTTTAAAGGATTATTAAGTTTTTAATCATAAATTGATACATCATATTGGTATATTAATCATAAATGGATACTAAAGATATTTATTTTTTATTTTTATATTCATAAATTAATACATCATTTTGTTATAATCATATATGAATTTCAGTTGCATATACATAATTATATTAAATGATACTATATGAATCTAATATTCATAAATGAACACGTCATATTGGTATATTCATTTATCAATAAAGAAGAAATTATGTAATCGCACCAGTAACTTGGTGTTATAAAACGTATTGTTGTGTGTGATTTGATGAGTAAGAGTAAGCGAGCATCTGAGTCAAGGTTTATCCATTCCTTTTACCCAAAGTGGGATAAAAGCAATATATGTGGGCCCCTCGATGATTTAGTGATGACACCCTAAGCGCTTGGCCAAGCCATGACTAAGTTGATGTGTTCAATTGTACTCTGTAGTCAGTCGTCATAGATCGGATGTCAGGAAACAATATAGAGAGAATGATTAAAATCCATGTCTCAGTCTATATGATATCTAGAATGGAGGAATATATGATCCCTTGTCTAAAGGACATGCATATCTGATATGATTAGTGTTGACAGTGGCTTTTGAAAGCTACGCTTGTTGATCAGGTTCTGAAGTTATACAAAATAGTTATTAGACTTATCCAAGTTGAAGATTTTTGGATTAGTGTCTAAGTCCATAACTATTTTAGTATGTACTTGACCCGATTATGAGCATGGTCCTTTTGGGTTGCCTTTACCATAGCAATATGTAGGATGAATTAAGGAGAGAAAGGTTTAGTTATGATTTATTAATATATTATGAGAATAATATATTAAACGAGAAATCATAATGTTTAATTAGTATTAGTCAAGAATTAATTTGTGGCTAAAAGAGATTAATTAAACTTAGGGGACTGGAATTGTAATTATAAGATAATTGCAATTGGGCTATGGATCACTTAAGAATAATAGGTTGGACGAATTATATGGGAAGCCCATAAGGAATTCTTCCAAGGGATATTCTAAAGGGGTCCATGGGCTGCTTAGGGTCTAAGTAGTCAGATTATGGTTTCTTTGTTTGATAACCCTAATAGCCTAAGTATATAAGGAACCCTTAGGCACTAAAAACGTGGCTAACACTTGGATTAGGGTTTCCAGACGTTTTTTTATTAGGGGAATGAAAGGCAACATATTTACACAAACTTATCAATGTCTTACTTGAAATGCATTCAAAAATGGAAAATTTAGAAATACAACTTCATCAAGTATCTCTACTTGTTACATAGAAATATGTAAAATATTGCAAAATTGTTGAGATACATATCAGATATACGTTGTTTCTTTTTGTTTCCTTATTCACTTTCCTTGTTTTAATTAGCTTTTGATAATTCCTTATTTAGGTTTTATATTCACATTATAAGTATTTTGTTTTACCCTATATTTCTTTTGACAATTCCTTATTTAGGTTTCAGATTTACATTACAAGTCTTTTGTTTTACCCTATAAATATGAGGGCATTGTAATTCGTTCAATAATAAGAAAATAATAGATCTACTCTTCTAAATTTGTTATGGTATCAAAGAAAAATTTGGGGAATAAAAGCCAGTTTTGCCTCTTGAAAAATGACGGGCATCAACTCTAGCAATCATTCCCATGGCAAGAACGAGACTCAAACCATATACATCTCGTCCGTGTTCTTTCTTACTTTCGTAGTTCATCCAGGTCTGAACTTTTTGGGTGAAAATCTACTTCACAATGAAAATTATAGTGATTGGAAAAGTGAGATGACTAATGCCTTATATGCAAAAAAAAAAAAAAAAAAAAAAAAAAAAAAAAAGTTAGGATTCATTGATGGGTCGATGCCAATGCATGCCAACGACTCCATAGATTTGATGAACCGGAAAAGATGCAATGCCTGCTGGTGATTTTATATCACTAATGTTATTTAAGTGTAATGGGGTTAATTTGTTGATCAATGTCACTTTGACAATTATTGAACAAATCGGTATGGTGTGGAGTGCACATTTGTTTAATTTTGTCTTTGTTGAAAGTATACTGCTATTTAAGAGCGAAGTCCCTAAACCGACGGGATCCATGGGCAGCGCCCCTAGGAGGGGGGTCCAAGGGGCGGCAGCCCCTGGCGGGGTCCAAGGGGCAAAGTCCCTAGCTGGGAATGATATTCTAGACCCGGATTTAAGGTTGTTTATGACCGTTTGTGGACAGTTTTAGGACATAAAACTGTCACGTTGCAGTTTTAAGACAGGAAGTTTTCTGTTATGTGATCATATCCGAATCTATGGTTGGTACACTTCTTCTTCATAACATCAAAACATTCTCTCTTCTGTTTTCTCTCAATTATGAGTCTTATCCGATTAAAGATTGGGAGTACCATCCAAATACTTAAATTTGAAAGTGAAAGCCACAATTCTAAGAATTTCCAAGTTTTTTCTATACCCCAATTCTAACAATGCCATGGTACGGGGATGACTTGTTAGTTCCATGGACAAGAGATCAAAAGCAGTTTCAAATATGCGACCATTGCCCACGACATATGGGTTGATCTTGAAGAAAGATACGTCAAAGAAAACGCGTCGACGACCTATGAACTCAGATGCACGATCATTACAATAAGCCAAGAAGGAATGATTGTTTCCATGTATTATACCACATTAAGAAGTGTTTGAGAAGAAATCCAATCAATAACTCAATTGCCAACATGAAAATGTCAAGGATGTAGGTCTCCAAAGAAATCACAAGATTGCTTGATAATAAGGGACTTTACGATTACCTAGCGGGATCAATAAAGAATACAACATGATCAATACTCAAATCGTACATTTTGATCCACAACCAACACTTGGAATTGCTTATCATCTCGTTAGTCAAGATGAACAACAACGTATTGTTGGATCCACTCGACACACCACATGGGAAGCGACAATTTTTCAAGCAAATTGAAGGACTTTAATCTATAACCACCAAGAACCAATAATCAGACAAACAAATGAGAGATGATTAGGGAAAGAAGAATGATGATAGGTGGTGCAAAAACTATCAAAAGGCAGGGCATATTATCCGTGGTTGCTTCGAGTTAGTCGGTTATCCAGAATGGTGGAATGTAAAATCCACTAATTCTAAAAGCCAACCAACAAAGAAATCTCAGTCAATGACAGTCAATGTCGTTGTTATCAATGAACAAACCACTCCCAACATAACCAAAGAAGAATACAACAAACTTGTCAAATAATCTCAAATAAAATATGAAGCAGATAAATTATGTAGTATGTATAATGTGAAAAACTCTGATATAGGTATTTGTAGTTTTGAATCCATTTAATACATTATCTACTTCACTTGTTAAAAGATCCATATTAATAAATAATTTAGGATAAAAAATAATATGAAAATTTTATATGCCACATGTGACATGCTTGTAAAAAAGAGAAAGGCAATTGCGGACGGAAACATATCTTCGGGTTCTGATATTCCCAACAACTTCTTGTGATTGCCAGCTAAATATTTGTTACATCATCCTTACAACTGTGCAAGCCTAATTTTCTAATTTAATTAATTTCATTTTAATATTTAGAACTATAAAGATTCCACGTTTCAGAGAAATTTCTCCATATTTGAAGCATAGTACATATTTAAGGATAAAAATGTTAACGTAGACAAGATATAATATCGAACATTTTGTGATTTTAAATAGTTATATGCACAAAATAGTAAAAGAAATAGGCTTTTGTTTAATTTTTGTTATTAAGGTTGGTAGGCGTACAAGCCCATACACTGCACGGTTGTGAGTTGTGAATTGTGATCGCGGTGGTGCGGTGAACACCACACCAACCAATGTTCGTTGGTCGATGGACCTCCTCACAACATTCATTTTCCCGCAACTTCTTTCTGACCTTTTCCCCCCTTTTTCATTTTGAAATTATCACTATAAATTCTACATCTATTACTCCTTATTTTACACAACTTTATACAATTTTTTTAATGTTATTATAACCTCCATAGTTCCATTTACCAAAATAAATACAAAAATCCTACTAACAATCTAAATCTCAACGTGTTATTTGTGATCTGGTCCAAAACTTGATTACCCTATTTTTTTCACCCGCACAACAACCACAACAATTTCACTATCAATATATACCACAATATTATTATACTAGTTTATAACCCGTAGGAACCATGATTACAAAATTAATTAAATTTTCTTAGTAAAAACTGAAAATTATTAATCAATTATTTTAAATAAATTGTTAATTAATTGATATTTATTTAGTTATATAAAATTAA